CTGCCGGTACTACTGAGAGAAGAGAGCGATTACAGAGATAAAAAGAAGAGAGAGAAGCGAGTGCGAAATGGTCTAGGGTTTCCTGGCCGGGGACGCGCCACGGTTTTGTTCAATGAAATCGACGCTACAAATTGCCGATCTCCATCGGACGACCGAGATTGCATGGGCCAATGATCGGACCACGGGAAGCAAGCAATGTCACAAGCAGCTTTAGCGACCAGCCCCAAAGTTGCGGCCCGGGAGCTACAAAGATTGCGCGTCAAAGGAGTTGGGGCCGGGCTGTTTTAGCGGCCGGGCCCAAAGAACAGTGAAACATTTGAGTCATATATTTCGTTTTTTCATTTTCCAGTAAAGTTTTTATTTCCTGGAAAATGGATAAATAGCTCAAAGAAAAATAGAAAAGTGTTTTATCCTGTGGGTAAAATTCAAGAAATTGAGTATATGTTTTTCCGCTGGTAAAGAAAAAGTATATTCTCTAGTGATTTGAACAGACATGATATTTAACTGGAGAAAAGAAAAGTTTTTCCAGTAAATCTTTATTTCCTGGAAATTGATTAATGGATTAAAGAAAATAGAAAAAGCAATTTTCCCTGTGGGTAAAATTCAAGGAAAAGAGAGTTTTTCCACAGTCAAAGAAAAGTTGTTGATTCTCTAATTATTTTGAACCAATGTGGTATTTAATTGGAGAAAAAGAGTTTTGATATGATTATGATGTTGTTATTTTCTGACCAACATTGTTAATAACAATATCATAATTATAATGATTTATGCATTAATTCTACTTCTGTCCAACGGTGATGTAGAATTAGTGTATAAGAAAAGTTGATAATTTTAATGATTTATGCATTAATTCTACTTCTGCCCAACGGTGATGTAAAATTAGTGTATAAGAAGAGTTGTAAAAGATAATGATTTATGCATTAATTCTATTTCTGTCAAACGGTGATGTAGAATTAGTATGTAAGAACAGTTGTGAAAGTTAAAGATTCATGCATTAATTCTATTTCTGCCCAACGGTGATGTAGAATTAGTGTATAAGAATAATTGTATGTTTTGATTTTGACCAATGTTGGAATCAAGGCATGCAAATGGTGTTAATTTTATGTTAAGAAAAGATTTGACCTGGTTTTCATCTTGTTTGAGGTGGACTGGGTACTCACCTCACCGTGTTCCACTGAGTTTGTGGCACCGGTGAGGGAGACAAAAGTGAATGATGCCACTTGGGCAACTAAAGAACTGAATTTTGAATCCCGAAAGATATCATATGGCTTTTGAGCATAGGAAGTGGGTCACTGCAAACAAGAAATGTTTGGCGGTGATAAAGAACATGATTGAACCTGCAATTGTGGGCTCAATCCCAGTGTGTGACACGGTCACCGAGTACCTCGATAGAATAAAGAGTCAGTTCACTGGCTCTTCAAAGACATATGCCACCCAGCTGATAAAGCAGCTGGTGACAGAAAGTTAATCTGGAAAAGGTGGCATAAGAGAGCTCACGATGTGTTGTCAAAATTATGGCACTGTCGTTGAGGACATATTTCGAGGGAGAGAATAGAAAGACAAGTTAAGAATGATATTCTTACTCCATTAGAGCTCTCAGATTAAGTTCAATGCAGAGAATGCATAAAAGAAAAGTATATAAAGAAGATTAAGAAAGATGACAAACGAAGCGCAGGAATCTTATAGATTATTCACACAGACATATGTGGTCAGTTTCCTGTAAAGAGTTTGGATGGTAATGATTCGTTCATAACATTCACATATGTGTACTCCCATTATGGCTATATTTATCCAATCAAAGAAAGAAAAGATGTATTGGATAAATTTAAGATATTAAAGATTAAGATAGTCAGGTCTGACCGTGGGGGAGTACTACGGTCGACATACCCTAAAAGAATGGCATAGTAGCCTAGTATTCTACACCGGGCGAACCTCAGCAGAATAGAGTAGCTAAAAGAGAAATTCACACCCTGATGGATATGGTAGGCTGTATGATAAGTTACTCCACCTTACAGTTGAGCCTGTGAATGGAGGCGTTAAAACTGCCACTCATATTCTCAATAGAGTATCAAGAAATTCGGTGCCCAAAACACCGTATGAGTTGTGGACAGAAAGAGTACCCTCACTAAACCACTTGCGTGTGTGGGGGGAGCCCTGCTGAGGCTAAAATATTTAACCCAAAATAGTAAGTTGCCATTTGTTTGGTTACCTAGAAAAGTCAAAAGGTTTTCGTTTCTACTATCCAGAGAGACATACAAAGTTTGTGAAAACGAGACACGTTGTTTTCCTATAGGATGAAAAGATGAGGGGGAGCACGGTAGCTCAAGAAATTGACCTTGAAGTGAAGCGGGTGTATGCGCCCACTCTAATGATTCATGAGCCAATTTTCTCACTACATGTTGTCGTTGCACCGACAGTGTAAAATACTATGGTGTGAGCACCTGTTGTTATTTCACCTGTGGCAACAATAAATGAAAATCAGGAACCTGTTCTTCAGGATTCTATAGAACCTATTGCCACACATGAGGGAGAGCAACAACAGCCTCAAATAGAAGATGTGCCAAATATGAAGGCCCCTAGAAGGTCTGAAAGAGTTAGTAAATCAGTCATTCCTGCTGATTATGAAGTGTACAACACTAAGAAATTTCAAATGGAGGATGATCCCACCTCATTTGAATATGCTATGAAAAGTAATCATTCATCAAAGTGGCTTGAGGCCATGGAAGATGAAATGAAATCGATGAATGTCAATAAAGTTTGGGATTTGGAAATAATTCCTAAAGGAGTCAAAACAGTAGGCTATAAATGGGTCTACAAGACTAAACATGACTCTCAAGGGAATATAGAGACATATAAAGTGTGACTTGTGGCAAAAGGCTTTATGCAAAGAGAAGGGATTGATTACAATGAGATCTTTTCTCCAGTCTCATGTAAAGTTTTCTTCAGAATCATAATGACATTAGTGGCACATTACGATTAAGAATTACACCATATGGATGTAAAGACGGCATTTCTCAACAGAGACTTGGAGGAAAATGTTTACATGGCACAACCGAAAGGTTTTGTCATGTAAGGAAAAAAACGAATATGATGCCGTCTAAAGAAATCTATTTATGAATTAAAACAAGCTTCAAGACAGTGGTACTTGAAGTTTGATCAGACAATAAAGAATTTTGGGTTTTAAAGAGAATGTAGAGGACAATTGTGTCTATACAATTTAAAGAAAATGTAGAGGATAATTGTGTCTATGCATAGTTTAAGAATAGGAAGTTTATCTTCCTTGTCCTGTAAGTGGATGATATCTTACTTGCTAGTAGTGATGTCAGTCTACTATAGGAGACAAAGAAGTTTTGTCCTCAAAATTTGATATGAAAGATCTTGGTGAACCTTCGTTCGTTCTAGGGATCGAGATTCACCGAAATAGAAGAAAAATGGTATAAGGACTATCACAAAATGTATACATGGAAAAGATCTTAAAGAAATTCAGTATGCACAAATGTAGACCCTCACCTGCTCCTATAGTCAAGGGCGACGGATATGGGGATTTTTAATGGCCCAGGAACCAATATGAGCTCAATCGATAAAGTGAAAGTGGTTCCATATGCTTCAGCTATCGGAAGCTTGCAACATGCTCAAGTATGTACACGTCCTGACTTGGCATTTGTTACCGGGTTTTACTTGGCAGATTCTAGAGGAATTCTGAAATAGAACACTGAAATTAGTAAAGAAAGTCTTGCATTATTTGCAAGAAACGAAAGGCCTCATGATGACATATAGAAGATCTGATTCACTCCACATGGTGGGATATTCAGATTCTGATTATGCGAGAGTGAATGCATATCCAGACGTGGATTTTCTATCATCTCGCAAAGGGGAGCTATTTCATAGAAAAGCTCAAAGTAAACTGTCACTACATCGTGCACAATGTATGATAGTTTGTAGCGTGTTATGAGGCAACAGGCAGGTGAATTAACTAACGAAGTTCATACCTGGTTTGAAGGTGGTTGACGACATCTATAGACCACTAAAGTTATACTGCGATTATAATCTGGCAGTAAAGGATGCTCACAACATAAGTCAAGTGGTGCTGCCAAATACATTGGCATAGAGTATTATGTTGTGAAAGAAGAAGTCTGGGATCAAGTCATAAGTCTTGAGCATATAAGAACAGAAAGGATGCTCGCGGATCCGCTTACAAAAGGCTTACCACCCAACATGTTCAGAGGACATGGTGTTCAGAGAACATGTAGCTAGCTTGGGTTTAAGGGAAAGCCTAAAATATTCCTGGACAAAAGAAGGTCCAAAGATAAGTATCTATTTCAGAATAGAGTAGTGAGTTGTAGCTGTTAAGTCTATCGGCAATGGACCGTGACGATGAGACATGCTCTATGAGCTAATATGTAATAGAATGAACAAAAGTAAATGATATGAAAGTGAAAGATGGAATGAGATCAAGTGGGAGAATGTTAGTTGATCTCCACCAATAGGCCCAACGGCCTATTGGGCCCTTATCTCTACTCCCTGATCGGGGGAGCCCAACCCTAATTCGATTGGTGGGCCCCTGTCGCACATCACACATAAAAGGAAGGTGGGGGTGAGGGCTCGGACTATGAGGTTCAACGGAGCCGCCACCCACCTACAGAGAAACCCTAATCCGATCCTAAAGCGTGCTGCCAGCGACGGGATGAGCCCGCCACCACCACCGCCGTCGCCTATGCAGGGACACCGCCGGCGCCACTAGATTGGGTCTCCGCCGCCACCACTGTACCTCGCCACCGAGTCAGAGCTGCCTCGGCACTGGCATCCGCGAGGCTGCATCCAGGGCGGCATCGGCGTCCACGCTGCCGCTGCGGTGTAGCTCCGCAAGGTCGAGGAGCCTAACTACGGATCTACGATTTACACACAGAGGTACCAATCCTACGATCCTAACAAGCTAGCGTACCCCACTAGCGAAATAACACTGTACTTGAACTAAATGAAGCATGTGTTTTCCTCACCAGAAAGGATTTATCAGGAGAAAGGCATATGCGATCAATCTTCAACGGAGTTGTTCAGCTTCAGGTTAGCTGTGGAGCGGGGTTCCTCACCTTCTGCATCTTTTCAGTTTTGGAATCCATGAGATCGAACTGTTTCACACGTGTGCAGCTCGGCACTAAATGGTGATTGAGTTTTTCTTTCTCTGAATTCTGTTGCAGAATGTTAGCAAAGTTTTGCCCAAGGACTGCCTGGCAAAGAAGGATCCAACAGAGGTACGTAGCTGTTCACTCTCTCTACGGGATTCAGTTCTCGTTGATATGCTGCCAAGCTCATTTGCCAACATGTTTTCTTAATTTGCTCCCAGTGTCTCTTCCCTGCTGAACTTATCAAGAGCATCAGCACCCCCACGTTTATTGTGAACTCAGAATATGATGCTTGGCAGGTGAGGTGATTACAATCTTATTAATTACTTCTTCTACTGGTCAGTTTGGTAACATCCTACCTGCTGTAACGGTGTAAGCCTGTAAACTTGATGTGCTTGTACTCTCCAGATTGCAAATGTTGTTGCGCCACCTGGAGACACATGGTCGAACTGCAGAGCTAATATTCGGAACTGCAGTTCCAAGCAGATCGATGTGCTGCATGGTTAATTAGACTAGCTTCCCGATCTCTTCTGTTTCGACCTCCATTCGGTGACCATCCTGATCTCTGTGATGTGAAATGTGCCGTGTGTTGCAGGATTCAGGAGGGAATTCATCAGGGAGCTGAAGGTTGCTGAAGGTGAACGGGACTGGGGGCTGTTCATCGATTCATGCTACACCCACTGCCAGACTCAATCGAGCGACTCATGGCACTCGCCCACCTCCCCAAGGCTTGGTAATCAGGTGAGGTTTTAATTAATCACTGAACTAGTGAACCGTACTGTAACAGCCTCTCTGGTGCGGCCTCGTCCTTTGCTTGGACTGACGGTTGGCATCTTCTGATTTCAAATTTTTGAGTGGAGCAGACTGTTGCAGAGGCTGTTGGGGACTGGTACTTCGGCAGAAGGCGACTGGTGAAACAGATCGACTGCAAGTACCCGTGCAACCCAACATGCAGCAGTCAGTAGCTCCGAGCTGGCTTCTTCTTCATGACCAACATTGGTCCGGGCTGAGATTTATGGGAGTCTTTGTTTGCTCCACCATCCCATAATTGTTTTGGCGCGGTTCTTATCCGAAGAACCCTTGCCTATTGTTTATCTTGAGACTCGATTACGGTAGATGCTCTTGAGTTCTTGTAAATAAGTGGAATTTTGAGCTTCCTAATTGCCAAGTGAAAATGACAGTGAATAAAGGATAATAAAACGGTAATGCTACCATTAAGACGTCCGGGAGGCCGGCTGCATGCGCCACTCGCCTAAAAAACAAAATTAACTCCCTAACGTCCGCGATCTAGCGGCCCTCTCCCCTACCCGGCGAGATCCATGGAGTAGAAGCGAGATCCACTCGTCTCCGACGAGATCCGTGGAGGTGTCGCGGCAATGTTGCAGGGGAGTGGACGGCTCTCTTTCACCCTGACGCGGCGCCCTCCCCACCCTCGGCGGCGTCCTCTCTCACACCGGCGACCGAGCTCCCCCAATCCGGCGCCATGGCGCTCCTCGCCCCCCATCCCCCATCGTCGCCACCAAGGCAAGCCCGGTACTGGTGGCGCTTGTGGCGGCGGTGCTCGTGCGCTGCCGCTCACTGCCGGCTCCGACTCCTACGACTAGAATCGACCGGCCCAGGCTTTCGCTCCACTATGTTGTAAATGTATGTTTCAGGTGTTTCAATCATTTTAAAGGTACGTTGCACTTGTTTCTTATGGATGTTGCAAAAGTAGATCGGGGATGTTCCACATGTTGCTTAGGTTGCAAATGTTTCAAAAGCATGTTGTGTTTTATCTGTTCCCAGACGTATGTTGCAATCATTTTTTATCTGGATGTGCATATGTTTTCACACATATGTTGCAACAATATGTTCTAAATGTCTCACCTGTTTCAGTTTTATGTTGTAGTAAGTGTTTTTTTATGTTGCAATTGTTTTATCCGGATGTTGCATATGTTTCATACACATGTTGCCAACGTATGTCCTAAATATTTTATTTGTTTTAAATGTATGTTGCAAGTGCGCAGACCGCTGACGTTGGTGTCTATGAGGGCGGGTAGGGCCAAGCCGCGGCTACCGACATGTGGAGGAGGTGCAGGCCGCCACCGGCGGTGTAGAGAGGATGCACAGGGCGCGCAGTGCTATTGTGGAAGAGGAGGGGGCGAGTCTTCCGAGCGGCTTGAAAGAGACGGGCGCCGCGCGCGGTGTGGAAGAGGTGGGTGCGAGTCATCCGAGCAGCGTGGACAGCGCATCTGAAGCGACGGTTCGGTTGTAAACGTTGGAGACGGAGCTGGGCGAAGCAGCCGTGGGCGCCTGGACGGACCCAGGCGTCCGGACGTCCGGGCGCTGGTGCGGCCAAACAGCAGCGATTTTCAGGTTTCACAGTTTCCTTTGTTCACTGAACGGGCGTTTTCACACAACACTCGTGTTGTTTTCCCGCGCCAACTTGGGTGGGCAGTAGTAGTCCGATCGAGCGGGCCCAGTACCAATACTCACGGCCATGGGCCCATGGCAGCTTATGCTATCTTCCTGTGTGTTGCTGGCCCGAGCTCGGCCCGGCCTGCCGACCCGCCATGATGCGACGTTGATGGCTTGATGCTGCACAGCCTGCATGGAGCGCCCGCACCCGCACCCGCACCCGCACCCAGAATTTGTCGCGTTTTCTTCGTCCGGTTCGGAGGTTTCTAGGCTTCCTCGGACCATGGTCCATGGACAAGCAAGCAGCTGCGAGTCTGGAACGGCACAGGGCACACGGCAGGGACACCGACCGATTCTGTGTCAAAAGGCGGAAGATGTGAAGGGCATATGCATATGCAGTCGCTAGACCCCGGTCAACGTGAATAGCTGCAGCGGACCAGCCAGTTTTCTCGTCGCTCGTCAGGCAGAAAAAAGGACGTAGTAGATGTACAGGGTATGGCGCTTAAGCGCATGTACTCCGATTAAACCGTTTGCCACGCTTATGACATCTAATAACTTATTGTACTGTCCTGAATCCATTGAGCTCGCTTTGCTTGAACGAATATGTTTCTATTCTCAAGGACATTTTACAGGCATCGACATCAACTTCATTTGCTTTGCAATTTTTCTAGTTTTGTGGTAGCCCATAATCCACGTTCTTGTAATCTTGTCGCTCACAGCTTAGCTGCCCTAGGGACAAAGTAATGTTCAGGTACTAATCCTATTATGGATAGTATTCCACCTTGTATTGACGTTTTGGTGGCCAATGATTTGGCATCAGGTTACGAGTAATGGGGATTGCCTTCCATGCTCAAAAAAAAAAGTTGAAACGTACATTACATGATAACAAGTCATGTTTTAGTTTCGTTAAAAAATCGAATTCACTACAATAGTTATCCATAGAGCCAAAAAGTAAATAGTCCCTGTAATTGTAAAGTGGGCAAGTGGCTAGACTCTGTTGTAAAACTTTCCCCTTTCATTTAATTTTATTATTATATTCAGTAGGGACTCTGTGTTAAGTTTCAACCCAAGAATACATAATTTGCTAGGGAGCAGGTCCTGTTTTCTATCTTCAGCATGTGTAGATTTGGAAACCTGTTTGGATGTTAAGTGCATTTACATGACTCATTTTGTACTAATGAGGTTCTGTTTGGATGCAAAATATTTTTGAAGTTTTAGATAAATACTACGATTTTGTAAAATACTTTGGTTTCAAAAGCACATGGGTGTTTGATACAACAAACTTTGTAGTTTTTAAAACAATGATTTTGTCAAAACCAAGAATTTTTGAAGTTTTAGAAACGGCACCCAGATCTTTTTTTTCTAAACAATAGCTTTATATGTTTTTGACTTATATATAAAACCATAAGTTTCTAAAACTATGCCATCTAAATAAACAGGTCCTAAATGGGCATGTATGAAACCACCGGTGGTGTTGCCAAATTCCCATGAGGATTTGGGTGTGCCGTTGCGGGTCAACGATCAGATTGTTTGTACCGTCATCTTCAGGTATTTGACATCAGTTTCAGAAGCAAAACACGGTGACGAGCTCAGAAAGAGCAGCCAAATTAAGGAGAAACTTTATATGTGTTGCCATCCCCAAATTAAACGTAATGATATTGAATTAATAAAATCAATCATTCGTACAAAAAACTTCAGACGTTTCGGTCCAAAGACGCAGCTTCGTTCTCACCTGTTGAAAAGTTGTGTAAGAACATAAGAAAATGTCACTCGCAAAGAAGAAAAATTGCTCCTGCAGAGACAGTGAGACACAGGACATGGAGAAGTCACTGGTGCCTCCAGAGGTTAAAAGTCATTATCTTGTTCTGCTCACGTGTATATATAACAGGAGGAAACTATGAATTACAGTTAAATTTTGGCCGAATCTTATCAATATATGATTTTTTATTAGTCAACAACAGCTGATCCCAAATTTTCCAAATTTCGTCTGTTTTGGTAGGCACCAAATTTTTTAGTTTTTTTCGCCAAGTTCTTCAGTACTATTTCAACAGTACTTTTTAGCGAAGGAGTAATATTTTCCTCTCACAAGAAAATCAACATCAACAACAGCATCGGTCAAATTTCAGCGAAACCAACGAGGCCTTTGAATCCTGGAACCATGCCTAGCAGCAGTATGTCCGGCACTACGTGTAGTGTAGGACGACCGGCCGGTTTCCTTCCCAGCTGAGTGCATGCAGCCGCTGACAAACACTGGACTTGAAGCTTGGCCCTGGCCAACTCTTTGCATTGCCCGAGGGTAGTATTTATTATCAACGGTTCACATGCACTTCCAAGGTTCCAAATAAAGCCGAAGCAGCTGGCCTGCCTGTAGCCTCCCCGAACGGGGAAGTCTACTCTCTACTGTCGCGAGAGAGGTCAGAATACTCTCTCTTTCGCATTCTCACTTGTTACTAGGAGTACCCCGTACGCATACGTAGGAGAGTGGCTACTGGCTACGTAGTTTGCATTGCCCTGCGCAACCCAAATTAAAGGCGGAATGATGGACAAATCACAGCACCCGCTGCTAGAGCTAGTGCAGAACGTCCGAACGTACCCCTCCTATAAATACTAAAGTAAATAAATAAACGCATGCAAGCGTACGTACAAGGTCATTGAAGACTGAACCCGGCCTGCGCTGCAGCCACGCACAGCGTCACAGCGACACCCGGGGCCCTCACCCATGCTGCGCAGCGTCAGCCGTCAGTACAGTCCAGGTCGACACACACAACAGCAGCCACGCGTGGTGCAGCGCAGGTCGTCAATAGCGGCTAGCGCCCGATCGATCGCATGCAGTTTCAGACTTGCAGTGGGAAGCCAAGCCACGATGAGCACCAGGCGCCGGCCAGCCATGCCCCATGAGCCACGGACGCAACGTCAAACTCGAATTTACGCCGGCCGGCAGTCGCCCACGCCCCGGCGCAGTTCTGGCCGGTGTCCCCTGCTGGTCACCGGCCTCGCCGCGCGCTCCAGTGCAAAGTACTAGTAGGAGTAGCTTCTACTGCTGTGCTGCACTGCCTGCGTACGTAGGCCGAGGACGACCTACTGTAGCTCTAGCTAGCTCTCCATCCATTGGCTGTTGCTGCATGCCTTGCCTTGGATACCTACCATGCTCGCTCATCCCTTCAAGTCAAGGCCTCACATCCATCACACACACCGCGGCCCTGTTCAATTCGATCGTTCTCTAGCTCGCTCGCCCGCCTTTTTATTAATTTAATTACGGCTATAAATACAGTACAGGCTCACACGTCCATCTTGGTTCACTAGCACACGGCAGCTGCCTGGCTACTAGGCTTTCCCACTCTCTGACCATATATAGATAGCTCTCTCGCTCGATTGTGATCCCACCAGCCTCTCCTCTCCGATTCTTCTCTCATTCTGTCGTCTGCCCCTGTCACCCCCCCCCCCGAAGCAAACAAATGCGGACCCAAGCAAACAAATGGAGGTAAGTGAAGAACAAGTCAATATATAACCTGTGTGATGAAAGCAATCGTTGTTCGACCATGACAAGTTGATTGATTGTATTGCTGCTCTATTTACCCCTATCTAATGATTTGATTGACGAATGACGAGGCTAGCTATCATGCATGCACCAATCCGCACGCTTCGTTCCTTCGCAATATAGTGTTCCTTACTATGCACTGGATCGCCGTCGTTCGTGTGCAGAAGGCGAGGAGGCGGCGCGTGCCGGCATTCGGAGAGTGGAACTACAACTACTACGGCAGCGCCGAGCTGGCCACGCCCGCGGCGGCGGCGGCGGAGCTGGAGGCCCGCAGCGACGTGTGGTTCAAGTACTCGCCGCCCCCGCGGAAGCCACCGCCGGTCAGCAGGAAGGTCCGGAGGCCAGCGGAGAGGTCTTACGGCGGCGGCGGCGGCGGCAAGCGCCCCCGTGCCGCGACGCCTGCGAGGGCGTACGACGGCGTGGTCCCGTCGTCTGTGCCGCGCACACCGGCAAAGAGCACCAGCACGGCTAAGGTGGCGCGCGTGGTGCAGCGCGTCGACGCCGACCTGTACCAGGTGCCACCGCCGGAGTTCGTCCACGACGACGACGTCAGGCCAAGGGTATGTATGTCCGCAGATATTGTAGCACTTGTCTTAACCGGTAATGTAATTATGATCTGTCAATTGATGTCACATCTCGCATGCAAGCAGCGGAAGCAGCAGCGTAAGAAGGCGTCGAGGAGCCTCTGGATGGGTTGCTTCGGGTTCACATGCGTTCCGGCCGGCTGAATAATTATTTTCTGTATTTGTGGTTTTTATTCTTTGTTTTGCTAAAATTTATAGTTTTTATTCTATGTATGTATCTACTAGTCTAATTCTGCTCCTTTCAGATTGTGCAATATTTTGGATTCTTTTTATTTCCACTAGGGCACTGTACATTATGGATCGAAAGAAAATCAGGCTCTTTTCGCTTTACTGAAAAGAAAAGTTATGACTGAAAATACTATTTATTAATTTGGTGTGAAAGAAAATACTATTTATTTACTAAAATAGTACGGCTCGAAAGATAGGCAGGACCACGTGCTGCCGTATCCTTCCGATCACAAAACAATTCGAACGCGCTTTTGCCGCTCTCTCCTTGCGTGCCTCCGTGCTTCAGGTTCAGAGCCGGATGCGGCTACTACATGAAAAATTAGGCCTGATTCTAAAAAATTTTCACCCCAAACTATTATATCGAATCTTACGGCACATGCATGGAGTATTAAATATAGATGAAAAAAACTAATGGTACAGTTTGGTTGGAAATCGCGAGACGAATATTTTAAAACTAATTAGTCCATGATTAGCCATAAGTGCTACAGTAACTAGCATACGCTAATGATAAACTAATTAGGCTTAATAAATTCGTTTCGTAGTTTTCAGACGAGCTATGTAATTAGTTTTTTTTATTAATATCCGAAAACCCTTTTCGATATTGCTGAAACATCCAATATGACGCCAAAAATTTTCATTTCGCAAGCTAAACAAACACAGCCTCGTTAGATCGACCCCGCCTCCCTCGTCTGCGTCCTCCGCACCGTACTTGGAGTCATCGGCAGTGTCCATGCCGTCGCTAGCCTGCCCTGGCAGGAGCGACAGATCGATGGACGTGATCAGGTTGGGCATCAGATTCAGTGCTTATTTAGTTTTCAAAAAACTTTCCTAAAAAATGCTACAGTAGTTATCATATTGAATCTTGCGATACGTGCATAGAGCATTAAACGTAGACGAAAAAAAATTAATTACACAGTTTGGCTAGAAATCGTGAGACGCGATACGTGCATAGAGCATTAAACGTAGACGAAAAAAAATTAATTACACAGTTTGGTTAGAAATCGTGAGACGAACGTTTTGAACCTAATTAGTACATAATTGAACACTAATTGTTAAATAAAAATAAAAGTACTACAGTCACTAATTACAAAAATTTAGGAACTCAACACAGCCTCAGATGCGCCGTCAATCTCGGTAACAGACTAACAGGCGCTGGAGTCGATGGAGAGGTGAGGTTCGTCGTTGGAGGCTGTCCCTTGCAGTCCACAGTCTAGTTGAGCAGCAACGACGGGCGATGATGCGCGCGTTTAGTTTCCACACCTAAATTTTTAAAAAGTGCTATAGTACCGGTCACATCGTATGGAGCATTAAATATAGACGAAAAAAACTAATTACACAGTTTGTTTGGAAATTGCGAGACGAACGTTTTGAACCTAATTAGTTCATGATTGAACACTAATTGCCAAATAAAAACGAAAATGCTACGGTAACCCAAATTCCAAAATTCAGGCGCGAACTTTGGATGACTCCAGTGCTTATTGCGAACTCTAATAATTGGCTCACTGCAGCAGAGGGCTCTAACGAGCAGATATGCCTGCGGCTGGTGGGGAAGCGTGCTACGCATAGTCAATATTAGGTCACTTACAAGTTACTCATTCGGTTCACAACAGAACGTAACTATAAAGATCTGTTCAAGTTAAATTAACTTAACTTTGACTAAACTTATAGTGAATAGTATTAATATTTATAAACTTTTGCTATTTATCCACTGACATATTTCTTTATATTTAATTGTGTTTTAGAATTTGTGCTACAAGCCTACAACTATCTACTGTGTCGCATGTACAAAAAATATGATAGAATTTGACCACAAAAAATCTATCGACAAATAACTAAACATTCCCATATTTATATCTTTAATTAGATTTACCATATGAAAAAAAATTCATAACTAATTTAATGATACTTATTTTATATCATAAATATTAGTACTTTTTATATAACTTTGGTTAAGTTTCAAATCGTTTTGTCGGGTTCATAAACCTAGGGTACCTCAGGGACCGGCTTTCACGCCAGAGCTCGGCCCAAGAAAACAGCATGTAGTTCATGGGCTGGCCCAAGAGTCTAAAATACAACGGGCCGGAAGGACAGCCCGGTCGCCAACCGGAAGGTCTACCCAAAAGAACAAGCGTCCGCTCGTCAACTTCTTCGGCCCACCTCTCCGACCGGAGCACTCGCTTCAGACACCAGCCGTCTCCGGACGGTCTCTCCGATCGAAAGGCCTAGCCCAAAACGTTGCTTCCTACTCCGACCCCGTGTATCCGACCGGGGACCCGTGGGAAGCCCGCTTGCCGCTCTTCTCCGACTGGCATGGCCAGGGTCGACTGGGGCCATCCGACCGGGGACGCCCGCTCGAAAGGGACCAGGGACGAACGGAGAAGGCAGCGCACAAGTCAAACCACGATACCAGGGACCATATCCTGTACGCCTACGGGAACAGTGCTCCACAACCGTCCTAACACAAACAGTATTGTAGCCGCCGACATTTGTGTCTACAGTATTGTAGGCGCCGTTGGACTCCCGTATGGCAAAAAGCCCCCACATGCCTCTGGGCATCGGTAGTACTGTAGGCGCCAGGATTCACCATACCTGGTACACGTGGTAGGGCTCCTCACATAACAATAGTATTTTACAGGTACCGACATCTACCCTTCCTGAAGAAGACAACGCAACCTCCCGTGTGCACCTGACATTCTATAGTGACATCAATAGTATTATGGGCGCCTACCGTCATCAATGTCCTCATCGGCGTGGGCAACAAGGCTTAGTAACATCCGTACTCTCTCCCTCTCACATGTAAAGCCATCCTCTTCATGTATAAAAGGGGATGCGCTCCCTCCAACGAAGGAGATCGACTTCTTCAAGTTGAGATTCACTAGATCGATAGCTCACAACCCCTCAAGCACACGCTTAATCACCCAGCTCATAGCGGAGCTCCGGTCGCTCTCGGCCCTTCCGGTCGGACCCGACTGGGCCTCTCGTACATCCCACCTTTCTCCTTCTCGTTTGTAACCCCACTACAGACTTCGAGCACCTGGGCTCAGGAATAAAGTCACCGACCGACCCAAACTAGACGTAGTGCACGTTGTCTGAACCAGCATAAATCCTGTGTCATTGAGTGCTAGGCCACCTCCGATCACAACGTACAGCAAAACTACAAATATTCACTAGTTGGTCACTTTCTGTACTGACAGTTGGCGCCGTCCGTGGGGAAGACGCTGTACGTTTAACACTTTTTGGTCATCGGATGACCCATTTTTCCGCCACCCCCGCCATGGCGAGCTCGGGCGATACGATTCGCTTTGGCTCGCTGGAATCTCCCGTACCCTCGCATGTTGGGATGCGGGTTCCACCCGTTTTTGAGCCATCCTAGGCCTTCCTCTTCGGAAGCCTAAACTTCATCGCCGACCAGCTCGGCGTACTCCACCTCCCGAGGAGACTCGCTACCCGGCACCCGTCGGAGAGACGTCCTCCATCGACTCCGGGACGCGCGACTTCGATGGCGCGGCATCTGCGCTTTATTCCAAGTAAACTCTCTGCTCAAACCCTACTGCAAGTAATACGCGTGCTTTTATTCGCCCTTTATTTACTATCTCCCATCGATCGCCCAGAGGGACTGCACCGCCTACACCACAAACACCGTACGATCGGTTCCCCTACGGCCTCGCGTCCTCCACGGATGCTTATGCTCTGGGGCTCCGAAGGGCGCTGGCACCATCCCCAGTCACATCCGAATTCGTAGGAATGGCAGGCTTCGCTCTTGTCGTTTCTCACGAACTCCCGGATAACGAGGGAGAGAGCGACGGTTCCAGCATCGGTGATGTGGTGCCCCGCCACCGTCCGTCCTAGGAGTGCTCTATGGCGGACGATCTAGGACAGCCGTCGGTGGTTGTGGAGTCTGCGCAGACTCACACCCCTCTAGACCTGCGTGTAGAGGCCCTCGTGTCTGTGCAAGCGCAAGCTGAGGAATTACGACAACGGTGGCGAAACCAGCCGCCGCCTGCGTTGGCATAGTTGGTGCACCACGTTGCGCCCCATGCACATGGCCCGGTGGATAGCGCCCGGGGTCACGCTCCTCAGGTCCAACATGACATCGTGAATGAGGGGAATGATGTCCCACAATTCGCCCGGGTTGGCCAGAATATCGCTGCTGCAGCAATGCTTCTACGCAGTGTTCCCGAGCCCGTCGACCCCCGGGAGCGGGCAGTCTACCGGAACCTCTGGGTTCTAGTAGAGGCCGCCGCCGTCGAATAGGCAAAAAGCTCTTCGTCGCGACTCCGACCCGTGCCCTCTCTTCCCACCGAGGGGACAGGGACGCGGCAGCTGGATCGCTTTGTTCGCTCGCCGCTGCAGCCGTCAGGCCCGGCTCGGGGTGCGGCAGCCGCGCCATGGTCCGACCGGGCACCTGCCCCACACCTACCGCCAGTATGCGAGCGGCCTGGTCTGCGCTAGGACGCTCATAGCGTCATCAGCGACCAGCATCGGGTCCGACACGATAACGATGTCTGCCATACGGCAGCAGGCGGCACGGATCCCGGCCAAACCATCGAGGGAAGTGGTGAAACGCGCCCCAGGCGTGGTCGTCAGCTGGACGACCGGAGCCCCAGCCCTGAGGGACTATGGCCACGGGCCTTCGGCCGGTGAATCCGGAGAGCACCATTCCTGCAGCGTTTTCGGCCTCCCTCCAACATCACCAAATACACTAGGGAGACAAACCTAGGCATTTGGCTCGAAGACTTCCGGCTCGCCTGTCGAGCCGGAGGAGTGGATGATGACTATTTCATCATCCAATATCTTCTCATTTGCGTTGGGGAACATGTTCGAGCATGGCTTGAATTCCTTCCACATGACAGCATCCACGACTGGGCGGACCTCAAGAGGGTCTTCGTCGAGAATTTTTAGGGGACGTACGTCCG